AGAGAGTTTGCTTCTGGGAAGGCTCAGTTAGGTACAGTCCTGGAGAAGCATAAGTCACGGGGGTTAGCAGCACAAGAGGGTAGGGGAAAGAGGATGGGTACATTCTCTTTGGTTCGTTGTTTAACCATAAAAAGCAATCGTCCTTAAAGCATTTATATTAAATCCCCCTTTCCTTTTAAAAAACACACAACCATTTTTCATAATTTCAGTGACAGTTGTAATTTGTTGAAGGTAAACTTCCTGCAGTCTAGTAGTCATTAGGAGTGTTGCATTTGAGGCCACCTCAAACATTGAGCGAGTGCACTGTTTTTTTAATTACACATGAAATAGGGAAAAATATTAAACATCAACTCACAATATCATATACTTTATTAAGAGCTAGTATTTTTAGTCTTAACAATAGCATTAGAAACAGCAGGATCTGTTTTCGCTATTGTCAGCCTGGCTCAGATATGCAAAAAAGCTTGCATCTTAGTTTACTTTCAGTTTATCGAGCTGGATAGAGAGAATATATTCTCCTTTTGGTCCTTCCCTTTCACAGTTGAGAAGTGGATTCATAGTACAAATAGCATAAAAATTGACTGTTCTTTTCCATTCTGTTAGATGAGATGGGGAGGAGGACTGGGAAAAAAATCAGGTTTTAATGCAACTAAGAATTCTGACACAGGGCACTGATTTTTTGTTTTGTTTCCTGTGGGCATTGTCCACCAAATAACACCAAAAAACAACTTTCAAGATTTGCAGAGGCATCTAGGCCAACCAGGTTTACACATTTTTCTTCCTACTATTGAATTTATTAGGAGTTTGGTATTTAACTTACTGAGCAAGCCCTCTGTCATTTAAAAATCTGGCCCATTGTAATGAGGGAGCAATTCGTGAGTTCGCTAACCATAGTTAATACTTGCTTCCTTTGATGTATTGCAAATCTAATGATTCCATATGTGGTCCCTCTAATTATGCCAAGAACTTAAATACTTCTGGATCTTGAAGTCTAGTATAATTGCTGACATTTATCTGACTGCTCTACGTTTCATTCTGAATTAAGCGTTCTGTCATACCTCTTCTCTTGGGACAGGTACTTGTGCTATATAAGACTTCAATGGGGGAAATCCTGAAACAGGCTGATCCCATTCCAAAACTTCAGGATAAAGTTGCAGATTTTGGCCAATGTTTCTAAGTTAGACTAGTTAGCAGAATTGTTGTGACAAGGTATTATTTTCTCTGAAGAATTAATAAGCTTACTTTGTGTCCCTTCAGGCCAAGTGCAAGAAGAATGGGGATACAGAGAAATGGTTAGCCTTTTGGAGATTTAAGTACTGACACAGAAAACAGGAAAATGTCAGTGGCAGGAGGAGTTAGCCAAGTAGATGTAACAGGAGGACCAGGAATATCCATTTTGGTCGTAAATCAGTTTAAACAGCTAGGTCAGTTCAAGCATAATGTGAAACTGTGCCCCAAGTCAGCAAAGTGATTTGCCGTTTGCTTCTCTGTTCTGCAAATACAGTGATAATTTTATGATCCGTCCATAGGATATAATCCTCATTTACATTTTCCTCTCCAACAGAACTTTTTAAACTCCAGTAGCTGCCCTGAAATTCAAGGTTTCTTGCATGTGAAAGAGCTGGGTAGGAAATCATGGAAGAAACTGTATGTGTGTTTGAGGAGATCAGGACTTTATTGTTCTACAAAAGGAACTTCAAAGGTAAGATTAAAAGAGAAGTTGCACAGTACTAGCATGCGAAAGCATTTTCTGCTTTTACAGTGGGTATTTTTTGCTGGTTTTTAAATATCTGCACAGAGTGTTCCCTTTTTTTATTGCATAGAAAAGGATAAGCAAGCCATGATCAAACGACAGTCAAGCCGTGGGCTCTCAATGCATGAAAATAGCTATATAGCATTGTTATATAATAAAACCAAACTAGCCGGACAACATAGTTGTGGCTACTGAAGTCGTGCTAACAAGGTTAGCAAGAGAAATCATGCTCTCCAAGCACATGGTTCATGAATTTAGTTTAAATGATACCTTAAACAATATTTTATATTATCTAACTTTCAGATTTCTCAGGAGCAATGTAATAGGCTATGCCATTTTTAATGTGGTGTGCTTGAATAAGTATTTTGTCAGCTTCTTGTACAAAGCACCTTCTGCTAGCAGGCTGGTATTTAAAAGGTGACAAGCCATGTCCACATCAAGCTGCCTGAGAGAGGAGCACAGTGTTCGTACACTGCCCTCTGTTGGAGGTTGGTCTTGATCTTCCAAAATCTTACACTTAACCTATGATAAAACACATTATTTCCCCAGGAGCCAAGGCATTTGCAATTGTTGGCTGACCTAGAAGACAGCAATATCTTCTCGTTGATAGCAGGCAAGAAGTTGTACAATGCACCTGCAGAGTATGGATTTTGTATAAAGGTAATTTTTCTCCTTAAGTTCTTCCAAAGTTCAAGACGGTGTCGGTAGATCAGAGTCCCCCCAACCCCCAGCTAAATGGGATTTGTATGTAAAACTCTGCAAGCATTTCTGTCATGAGGACTTGATCTTTAACGTCTTTCATTTGGCAGGCATGTCCTGTGAATCTTGCCATCGTTTTATGTGACACTTTTAGCACTTTATCTGGTGCTCCTTTGGCTTGGGAAATGTCTGTGCAAGATCAGCTCAGTGCTGAAGCATGGTGTGCCTGTGAGCTGGCCTTGGTTCACCTCACAGATGAAATTCTCTTTCCAAGTACTCTAATTGGATAGGAAAGTTTCTCTGGTCAGTGAGCACCAAAACTATATAGCAGCAAAGGATCAAGCTCCGATCGGGTATAACTGTACCATTATTGTGGGCCAGAGGTTTGCATTTGTTTAAAGAAGAAGATTGTCTTGGAAAATGGAAGTAAGAATCAGCAGTTGCCTTTGAAGATTCTGAAAACTGTTGTGCTGATTGATAGGTTTGGAAAGTATTTCAAAGCTCCATGTAATTTTCTGGGAAGAAAGTAAGGCTGGGAGCTGGTTTTATTGACAGCGGTGAAGTAGTCTCCTTCCTAGCAGCTGTTCCAGAGCTAGACAACATGGGTTTGCCTCAGAGAGTAGAGACCAGCTGCGGGACAGATCCTGAACTGATGGAAACAGACTTTCAGTAACCTTCAGTTACAGAAACTTTGGTTCTTCATCTCAGAATGGGGGCTTATAAAAGTTCTCACAATTCTGGAAAAAAAAACAAAAACAAAAACAAACCCGCACGCCTTTTTTCTGGTGCTAGCATGGCCTGAGTACCTTGTTCCTATAAACTGCCAGAACTTCAGGGTATTTCCAAGCAGGCACTGACGTTTATCTTACTGGACCCAGCTGAGAAAGTGATTTCTTTCAAAGCATGCTCAGCTTCTCCCGAGCTTTAATTCAGGGTGGTGTGAGCTTTTTCTGGCCAGTTCTTAGACTAATACTGTACCTGCCTTTACTCTGCAGTAAACTTACAGTGTTGTTGGTTTTCTGCTGAATGTAGCTGACTTCCCTCTAACACTTTATAGCCCAACAGGGTGAGAAATGAAACTAAGGAACTGAGGTTGTTGTGTGCTGAAGATGAGCAAAGCAGGACGTGCTGGATGACTGCCTTTCGACTCCTCAAGGTACCTAATCTCTTCTATGTGAATAGACCTACACCAACAGTTAAGTTGCATTCGTTATTTTGTTCGTGAGAAAATACCTATATGTTCTTAAACATAATCTGCCTCCAAAATGATACAGGTAAGAGCAAAATGCCAGGTAGACCTGTCCCTCCTAAGCTTTTAAGCACAGGACTGAGCTCAATTGCTTCCACATATGAATCAAGTATAATTTTAGTTCTGGAGCCAAATTTATGATATGTGGATGAATCAAAAAACTGCTTAACAAGATATTTGCAAGTTATCATAAAGCTAAAGAAAATGTTCTGATAATGGTAAGCGATTATCTTAACTAGAACAGAGTGCTATCTAGAGCCTTTGCCATTTTTTCAGTTTTCTGAAGGTTCTATTAAAAAAAGTAAGAAAAATAAGAAACCCTATCTCTGGGTGAAAGTTATACATATCTGAGAGCAAACAATGAGATTTCTTGATAATATGGTAGGAGGCTTCAGAGTGTTTTTGCAACAAAATCAGCATGGAAGGAGCTGAGGAGGAAGTTGACTATTTTGTGCTCTTTGAAACAGAGAACATGACAAATGTTTGCTACAGTTACCTGTTCCTGTCCTTGTGAAGACTGTCCATCATGCAAAACCCTGTAAGTGCAGGGAAAGCAAATCAGACTCCTAGGCCTGCGGGTATGAAAACACAATGCCTGTTCTCCATCTGCATTATGTGGTCACCTTCCAAACCAGAGCACATCTCTTTGAATGCTCTCCAAATATTGTCTCATTTGTTAATTTTAAGAGATTCTGTGTTGCAGTATAGAAATTCCTATTTTAAGTTGTTACGAAAGCAGGCGCACTAGCCATAGTATGGGCCAGTATGCAAGAAGCAATCCCAGTTACAACATGCATATTTGATTTCTGTGGAGCTGATACCTCTGTTGGCTATCATAATCCGCTCTCCCGTTACTTTACTTGACTTGACTTGTGTTCAATACACACTAACCATTATGGTAAGAGTTTTAGTCCCCAGGCAATTCCAAGTGCTTCTTCTCAGCTGTCCTTTCCCTATTTACACAGAATTTTTCATTGTGGGGAAAGCGCCTAAACAGAGGATCAGATAATTGTAGTGAATTGTGCCTTGAAGATACCACTTGTTCTGAAGAAATTACACTGGTCAAGGCACTAATGTTCCTGAACGGCAAGGAAAAACCTTCACAGTGTACAGAATTAGCTATTCTTACCATAGACATGCATCTTGCTGTGACGTTTCAGAGGAATCTTTCTTTGCAGTGTGACCCGTGGCAGCCACGGTACTGTATGGCAGTAATTTCTGTATACTGGCATACAACATTCACCCTTAGGCAGTTAACACTAGGAGAAAAGAAAAGGGTTTGTTTTTAAGGAACACTGAAAGATGATTAAAGGTGTATAGTCAGGGAAGATTAAGGCTGTGCCCCAAGGCTGTGGCCGTGACCCTCCTTTTTATTCACCTACTGATTTAGCTTTCCATAGTCGTATATTACCCTGTTTACAAAATTATATATACCATTTCAGTGAGAACATTCAGTAAGCAATGTTGCTATACTTCAGCACTGTGCCTCTAGGGAAGCCACTGAGTAGGTATTTTCCTACCATCCCAGCTACTAGTGTTGCTAAAATTTATCATGTTCAACAAGGAGCGTGACTGGAATTCAATCACCTTATTTTTATAAGGATGAGAAAAGCAGCAAAAATGTTATT